TTCTGAGCTGTTGTGTACAGGGTTGCTATGAGTCACAAGCTACTTGACGGCACTTAACAACAAAGACAGATGATAGATAGATAGATAGATAGATAGATAGATAGATAGATAGATAGATAATGTGTGTGTGTGTGTGTGTGTGTGTGTGTGTGTGTGTGTGTGTGTGTGTAGAGAGAGAGAGAGAACATGTGCGAGAGAGAGAGTGCAAGAGTGTGAGCTCTGGTGGCCTAGTAGTAAGGAGAAGCCACTGCCAAACTGAAGGCATGTGGTTCAGATCCACCAGTTGCTCTATAGGAGAATGATGTGCAGTCTTGTGCTATTTACTACTACCTCTGAAAACCCACCAGAGGGTCAGCTATGGATCTGTCCCAACTCGATGGTACATAACAGCAACATATATATTTTTTTATATGTGGGGGGGCATATATAGTATGTATTATATGCTACATAGTATGTGAATATGTTTTATATGCAGATATATTGTATATGCTTTTATATGTAATATATGTGTATCATATATGTATACACATATATTCTCTCTCTCCAAGAGCAACTATGGATTTGAAATGCCAACTGTTAGGTTAGTAATACAGCACTTAAACGTTAAGCTGACTGTGCCCCCAGGGACGTGCACACTCTCTCTCTCTCACTTGCTCTCTCTCATGCATATTCTCTCTCTCTCTCTCTCTCTCTCCCCCCCTTCTCTCTTCTCCTCTCTCCTCTCCCCTCCCCTCCTCGCCTCTCCTCTCCTCTCCCATTGCCACTGAGCCAGAACAGACACTTGATTGGGTTTACAAGGCTGTAAGAATTCACACAAAAGGGGATAGCCCATCTATCTGCCTGAGATTCAAACCACCGGGGAGCATGATCTTTGGTTTTGGGTTATCAGTGCTTTCTCTGGGCTGGACAACCTGGTGTGTGTGTATACCCTGGGGGAGTGAGGACTCAGGTTAGCTTCTGAAAGGTAGTGAGGATTGGACTGATTGTAAAAGGGGTTGTACGAATGAAGTCAGGAATGGGCATCCAGTGTGGTTATGGGACACTGAGATGTGCTCTGTTTGCAGAAGGAAAATCTGGGGGTGCAGTAATGGAGAGGATGACAGGGCATAGACTAGATGGGAAAAGCTTATGCAAACAGTTGAAAAGTGTTGAGAACTCAAGACCACCTGGCCAGCCACCACTCATACCACACCATTGTCCTTCCTCCCCACAGTCTTCTTGGCTGCCATCCTGGTTTATTTTTCCAGAATCAGTTTAGAACTGTTTTTCTTGTTAAGCCTCAAGACAAATTGTTTTGGAGTTTCCATTGTAATTATACAAAATCTTTATAGTCGCCCTGGAGAAGAAAAATTGTGACTGTCCTTTCAAAATTATTCTCAGTAGTATGTTGTTGTTGTTTACTGTCGAGTCAGAACCGGCCCATAGGTGACCCTCCAGCGGGTTTTCAGAGGCAGTTAATCTCATGGGAGGAGACTGTCCATCCTTCTTCCGTGGAGCAGCTGATGGCCTCAAACCACATGCCTTTGGTATTGCAGTGCAGCTTCTTGCCACTAGGCCACCAGAGCTCCCATAGACTTTTTTATTTTTAAATCTGTATTTTGTTAATATTGTTATGCCAATGAGGGTGAGCTAGCTTTTGTAAGTTTGAGGTCATCCTTTCTTTTTGTAATAAAAGCTTCTTTCTTGAAAAATGGCAGCCATTTGATGTTTGGATGGCGTGTTGATTTAGTAAACGTGGACTCTTTTGTGGCTCTTAGCTAAACAATTAAAACGTCCTCTCTCTGCCCTTTTCAGATTTGACACCTACAGATCCAAGAAAGAGAGTGAACGGCTGGTCCAGTATTTGAATGCGGTGCCTGAGGGCAGAATCCTTTCTGTTGCAGTGAATGATGAAGGATCTCGAAACCTGGACGACTCAGCCAGGAAGGCCATGACCAGATTGGGCAGCAAACACTTCCTACACCTTGGATTCAGGTACTGCCTGGCCCTTTCTCCATTCCAAGCTCCAGAACATGGAAGCAACTGACTTCTCCCTAGAATTGATCATTCTGTTATCTTTTTTTTGGAGACCCTGGGTGGTGCACATATTTAATGCACTCAGAAGCTAAACAAAGGGTTGGGACTTCAAGCCCCAGAGGACCCAGCAGTGCCTCACAAGAAATGCCTGGTCATCTGCCTCCCCAAACCCAGCCACTGAAAACCCTATGAAGCACAAGTCTACTGTGACACACATGGGGTTGCCATTAAATTAGCATCAACTCAATGGCAACTGTTTATTTCCTTCCCACATGGTCACGTCGCTCTAAGAGGGAGATTCAGACACTCACTCTTCATTAGACATATTTGGTACTTTGTCATGAATTAAATTGTGTCTCCTCCAAAAAAAAAAAAATGGGTCCACTTAGCTGAGTCATGCTCTGATTGTGTGATTGTCCTCCATTCTACGATACTCTGTATTTTGTGATGTGTTGTAAATCCACACTTCTTCATGAAACATAATTAGAGTAGAGGATATTTTAAGCCACAATCTCAGAAGAGGGCATGACTCAAGTCATATACTTAAAAAAACCTCCATCCTGACTCATATCACCCTCTTACTTGAGGCAAGCCTTTGGCCTTTCAAGTGCAAAAAAGAGAGGTGAGCAGAGTTGGGACAGACTTCAGTGCTGCAAAGAAAGAAGAACCCTGAGTGGAGCGCATTCTTTGGACCTGGGACTGTGCTCTTAGCCTGAGAGTAAGACAGTCACCAAGACACATGGAGACCTTGCAAGAATACTGGAACCACAGATGTTGAAAGGAGACAGGGACCTTCTCCTCGAATTCACAGCCTGGACTTCTAGATTCCTAGAGGAGAAAATATATGTCTGTGTGTTAAAGCCACCCACTTGGAGTATTTCTGTTATAGCAGCATTACATAAGTAAGACAGACTTTTGCACTGGGGGTGGAGCGCTGTAGAATTGCAAATGGGCAGAGGCTGGGAAAGTTTTTAAAGTACATAATGGTAAAATCTTGGATTTCCTTGAAGGAACTATTGGTAGATTCTTGGCCCTTAAAGGCGACGCTGATGGAAGCTCAGAAGGAAGTGGTGAGAGCTGTAGAGAAACTGTCGCCTGAGACAATTTATACGTCACCAGCATTAGAATGTCCCTGGAATGTGAAGGTTAAATTTGCTTTTGGTGAGACTTTAAATAAAAAATGATAACTATGTGATTGGACAATGGCGGGAGGACACAGCCCCTTATGCAGGGAGAGGAGCTTGTCTCAATTACAGTAGAACTTAAATATTAGACAGAAGAGATTTCTAAGCAAGATCTTAAAGTGACCATGTAGAATGAAATATGAGAGGAAAAGGATGGACTGTAAGAAATGAAAACAAAACTTAAAAAGATTCTAAAAACTGCACAACCTAAGGACATGTGCCCTGGTCTTTACACCGAGGATGTGTCTACTTTTGTTAGATTCAGCCTTTGTGTGCTGGATCTAACCAACTTCTACCACAACTGAAAACCTATCAGCTTACACTGCAGGGGACAGAGAAATAATGAAAGGGAAGAAATTATCTGCTTCTTGGAATTCTACAGGCAGGAAACAGACCAGAGGAGCTACATGTTGTCCTCCAAGGAAAGAGGCAGTCTTGGAGCAGATCAGAGATCAGTGGAACTGTTGGAAGGAGCAGGGCAGTGGAGGTGCCTCAGCCTCGGAGGATGGGGCTCTGGTCCTGTCAGTTTCAGAGGGCAGGCCCTCAGACTCCTGGATCTCAAATTGTGGGTCTACAGCTGCCAAAGTTCCAAAGACTATGATCTTTGCCAGCTTAGTCCTGGAGCATGAGGTGGTCATTACAGTGTGGCAAGGTGTTGGGCTGCCATGCCAAAGGGGCCGAAGGTAGGGGCCTGAAAGGAAGTGGCATTATCCCTCAGGTGCATTAGGGGAAGGGCCCCCCCAGAATGAAGAAACCAGAGTTGCCATCCCAGAGGACCTGGACTGTAAAACTGAAGCCCAGAGCTAAAGGGCCTCCACCAAGAATTCAGAGTCTGGAAGGTAGAGCCGTTGACTTGATGGTCCTTGAGAACAGAGAGTTAATTTCAAGCCTTGAGAACTAAAGTCAATTGTGTCTCTGGATTTCAAAACTTGGTGCCTGTTATCCATTGTTTCCCTCCTTTTTTTTCTTAACAAGCAAAGTGTTTGTATTCATTAAGAAAATAAAAGACTTTCAGAAACCAACCTTAATTAAAATCCTAACAAAAAGCTGCAAAGTCCTTGAAAAGAAATAACATAAAGGAATACAAATTCATTTCAAAAAAGGTGGGAGGGACTGTCCACCTTGGACCAGTCCCACCATTGCATTTTGTAGGCAGATAACTTGTGTTCTAAAGTTAACAAGCTTACAGGTGATGAGGCATTTTGTCTCAAGATAGAAGATTCTAGGAATGATAGGGTATGGTGAGTGTGTTTTACACGTGGCAAGGACATGAATCGGGTGGGGGGGGGGAGTCCAAAGGACTTAAAGGACCCTTGGAATGTCTCGATTGAATTGTGACCCCTCAACTCTCTGTCCACTTGGCTAAGCCATGTTGTTTGTTTACTGTAAGAGCCATGCCTTGGATGGAGCTAATGGAGCTCATTGCTCTCCTTTGGCAAAGAGAGCATCCTGGTCATGTTTTGCTTTGGAAGTTGGCAGACGGTTATTTAGAAGTGATGAAGAATGTCTGACCAGTCAGAGATCCAAGGAGAAGGCCCCTGATGTGCTCCAGAGTAACATTTGCTTTGGATCATAGCACCAAGCTTACCTTTGAAATACACGCACACTGGCACCAAGTGGGCTCCCCAGGTTTACCCACCAGGAACGGCCTTCGTATTTTGTTGAATCAGGTGTTGGCTTGGTGGAAAGGAGAGGTGATCTGTCTGCTGCTGTTTGGAAGTTCTAACATCCCTCCTTTCAGTTTCCAAAATCATGGGCAGGATGGAGGCAGGGCAGAGCTTTTTTGGGGGGCTGGGAGCAAAGCCCTGCTTTGACCGCCCACGGATCTCGAGGCAAAGGATGGGCGTTCCAGGTCCCAGGGACAGCTCATAGCTGCTCCTGTTGGGAGGCTTTGGGCAGGAAGCTCGAGCAGCCAAAGATGACAAAGATAGCTTGGCATTGCAAGGTTTCTTTGTTAGCAGAAACCCAGGGCACTTCCACTTCCCTGTTTTAGAAAACCGGAAGACTGAGATAAAGAGAACTGTAGAAGGACTGGATATCTGAGGCCTCAGCAAAAGGCGGTAGTGACTGAGAACCCAGGACTGACCATCCAACTGTTCAAATTTGAGTCTGTGCCACACCTCCTGCTAGGTGTGACTACAGACAAGTGACTCACCCCTCTTGTGTGCAGGGCTCCTCTATCTGTAAAACAGGAATATGTCGGGGACTATCTCAGAAGATTGTCAGGAGGAGTAAATGTGATAATACATGCAATTTATCTGCTGTGGTGTCTAGCACAGAATTAACACTTAATAAATGTTAGCCCTCTTTCCAAGAGTCATGAGGAAGCTGTTTTGTCATAGACATTCATAGAGCTAGAAGTAGATAGATAATCACGTATTTATCTCTTATGTGCATATTGCTATATGTTATTGAATCTGTCTCATAGCAACCCCAGAGAAGAGAGTAGAACTAAGTTGTGATCTTTACTGAAGAAGTACTGGGTGTTATGTGTTGGGCTGCTAACTTGAAAGTCAGCAGTTCAAATTCACCAGCTGCTCTGAGGGAAGAAGATAAAGGACTCTCCTCGCATACCGATTGGTAGCCTCAGAAATCCTGTGGAACGCTGCCCTAAGTCAGGGCGACCCACAGGTGGTGCGTCAGTCTTCAAGGAAGCTGATCATCAAGGCTTTTCTCCTTCGGAGTACCTGGGAGGCTCAGGGTGATCTTTCTGTTAAAGTTGAGTGCTTAACAATACCACCACCAAGGCTCCCGTCTAGTGGAGATATACTTCAAGCATCTAAAATCATAGAGGAGCTTACTTGTATATAGTACCCTCCCTTCTTTCACATGTGCATTCATTCATAAATGGTTTTTGAATCAATATTGGCATGGGACACTATGCTGCAGTGAGTGAACTGACCTCTCCTGGGAAGAAAGGCATGATGGGGGATGATGGTGGGGTGTAAGAGAGCAAGGGAGCAGCCAGGATACCCAACGAGGACATTAGGGAATGAGGATGAGGGCAGGCAAGATCCCCACATAAAGGCTGGTGAGTTCAAAGGTCCTGGGGTGGATGGATGGCTAGTTTGTTACAGTGAGTGAAGTACAGGCAGCAGGAGGGTCGACCTGAAGACAAAGATGTGTCTAGGGAGTTATAAACAGGGGGCTCTTGTTTTCTGCTAAGGAGCTTGGTCTTCACCCATAGGGCAACAGGAAGTCACTGAAGGATTCTAGGAGGGAGCATGACACAGCCCACCTCCAGCCTCAGCTAAACGCCATCCAATAACCACTGACTTCGCATACAAGAGATCAGATTAAAAGCAGAGAAAGACATTGAGGGACAAAAACTAATTGAGATCCCACAGTAAGAGAGACATTGTGGGAAGACAAAACCAGCAAAGAAAACCTCCTTAGTCTATGCAGTTGTTTACTGTTGAGTCAAAACTGACCTGCTGGTGGGTTTTCAAAGGCGGTTAATCATCCGGGAGGAGATTGCCCATTTTTCTCACGGGGAGCCCCTGGTGGATTCGAACCATGTACCTTCAAGATTGCAGTGCCACTTCTTATCACTAGGAGGGCGCATTTTAATGGAGGAAAGACATGAGTGTCCATGTTGCCAGACTCTTAAGCCTCATCAAGAGGAAGAAAATTCTCTGCAGGGCTTTACAAAGGCTCTGAGGCTGTCACACTGGCCTCTAGCACTTTCCTCAAGCTCCACTCAAGGGATACAGGGCATGGGAGAAAGAACCTTTCTGTATTGGAACACATTTTCCTTGTTTTGTTTTGAGACCAGAGAACTCATTTCAGAATGTCCTTGAGACTGGCCGGTGGCATGGCAGGTCTCATGACTTCTTTATGATTTGTGGTCCATTACTTACCAGAATGGAGCCAAAGGAGCTCCCAGCAAACATCAGGCTAGGAATATGGACACTAGGAAGCCAGGGCTTGGAAAGAGAGGCTCCTTTCTACTTAAAGAGAAGCCCAGGGAGTGAACTAATTCCCCCCAAACAACAGGAGGGCCACCCTTCGGTAACACTCTGTTTCGCTCTCTTCAGGCTCAGGCATGTGAAGAACTGAATTTTCTCTTTGTTTTTGTGTTGTTTCAGACACCCTTGGAGTTTCATTACAGTGAAAGGAAACCCTTCCTCCTCAGTTGAAGACCATATTGAATATCACGGTAATAAATGGTTGGTGGGAACGCTGCTTCTCCCCAGTGTTTCTCTGAACAAGAGAACTGGAGTCTTTCTAAATGACCCACTTGCCTCCCAGTACAGCTGACCCATTTCCCAACACCCAGCTGAATGGCCCAATCAAAGCTGGCAAAGGTCAATACTGATTGGAAGTCAATCACTCCAGATGATATTTACATTTCCAAAGAAGTCTTCATTGGCTTCATCCAAAGTAACTGACCTAGCAAAGAGGAGACCTGGAGCAGAGGCACAGGCTGTGGAGGTTAAGGGAGGCTCTACTGGTTCAGCTTCCAGGGAAGCATTAACAGGAATCAAATCTTGATTTGATGGAACAGTGCAACTAATGCTTCGAAACTGAGCTGGAAAAAAAAAGGAGTCTAATTTGCTTCCCAAGTAGAAAGATTTGTCTACAACTTTTAGAAAAGAAAAGTCTTAAGACAATCTGTGTGTGGAGGTTTACTTGGTGTTAGGATCACACACTGTTGAGCTGCAGGGTCCCTTGAGTTGCTAAAGCCTCTGGTCTCTCTGATAGGACACCACGGCTCTGCAGCCGCCCAGGTCTTCAAGCTGTTCCGGACGGAGCACGGGGAGCACTTCAACGTCTCTTCATCCAGCGAGTGGGTTCAAGGTGAGGGACTTGAGAGCTCAGCGAAACCTACCCGTGACATCAAGGTCAGGAATCACTATCTACAGAACAAGGTTTTTGTTCTTGCATCGTTGTTGCTGTTCACTGGCTCACAGTGATCATATACGGAATAGAACGAAATGCTGCCTGGTCCTGTGGTGATGGAGACTGGACTGTGGTGGTCCTTAAGGTCGCCAGTGGCTGATTTGCAGCAGCAGATGCCAGGCTTTTCTTCCTACTCCACCTTAGTTGGCAAACTCCACTAAAATTTGCTCAGCATCATAGCAATATCAGATCTTCTCCTGATAGATACTCTTGAGGTAATGGTGGCTAAGAATTGAACTCAGAAGGCAGTAATTTTACCAGTAAATTACTATATTCCATTCTAGTATTGATAAGGTCCTTGTTGTTGTTCTGTACTGTAGAGTCATAACCAACCCATAACTGACACACTGGTGGGTTTTCAGAGGCAGTTAATTGCATGGGAGGAGATTCCCTATCCTTCTACAGAGCAGCTCATGGCCTCGAACCATGTGCCTTCAGGACTACAGCACATCTTCTTGCCACTAGGCCACTAGAACTGCCTGGGTCCTTGACTGTTGTATAATCTACCCACTGACATGAATCCAGGAAGCTTTGGTAGCCTAGAAGGTAAGGAGTTGCACTACCAAAGGCAGGAAGTGCCAATTCACAAAATGTTCCTCAGAAGAATGGTGGGAAATCTCCTCCTGTATGAATTACAGACGTTGAAAACCCACTGGAGGGTCAGAGATGAATTGGTTCTGACTTGATGCCAATAAGTTGAACTAAGATGGTCCCTCAGTATGTTTTGGCTCGTGGTAAGCCTCCAATGGTTTTCCAAGGGTGTATATCATACTGGAGGAGACTGCTTCCCCTTTTTCCCAAGAAGCAGTTAGTAGATTTGAACTGTTGACCTTTCCATTGGCAGTACAGCACATAATGATGCACTATACCACCAGGGCTCCTTAACTATTGTGCATCCAGCTGTATTTGCAAATGAAAGTTGCCTTTAATCCAGCCACCCTGATGAAGAGTTTCCTACAAGGGTTTTTCTTGTTTGTTAAGATTTACATTTCATCCCAGTTTGGCTTAAATAGTGCTTAGTTTTGTTCACAGAATACCACTTTTCTTCTTTAATTTGATAGTAGTTTTATTTCATTAACACAGTCTGATATAAATATGCAACAGCATGTTAAGATTTGAAAAACAAAACAACCAACCAACCTGGGTAGTTATTATGGATGTTGTAACACAGGGTATCTTTTAAGAGCTAGACAATGACATTGAACATGAGAAATAGTCACAACTGTGATGTGATCCATGCCTTCAAGTAGCTCATATCGTGGCTCAGAAAAGCAGGAAACCCAATGATAATTCTTGGATAATAGTTTCACAGATTATATTTTTCTCCTTTTTATTTATTTGCTCTCATAATTACAGAAAATTTATCATGAATACATACTGTTTTTATAAAATTAAAAAGTCAGTAAAAGGTGTTTTTTATTAAAAGGAAGTCTTTGAGTTGTACAGATGGTTAACATGCTCAGCTGGTAACCAAGTGGTTGGGAGTTTGAGGCCACCCAGAGGTGCTTGAGAGACAGCCCTGGACTTCAAAGCCATTGAAAGTCCCATGCAGTACAGTTCCACTCCAGCACACGTGGGGTTGCTGTGAATTGGACTTCACTACGTGAGGGAGGATTAGAAGTAGAATGGAGACGCTCTTCCTAGGAAAAAGAACATCATGCTTGGGAAGGTGAAGGGTCAGCGATAGAGAGGAAGACCCTCCACGTGATTGATTGACTCAGTGACTATAGTAATGGGCTCAGAGATGGTGAAGACAGCACAGGATAGGACAGCCTTCATCTCGGTTGTTCATAGGGTCGCTATGAGTCATCCTCAATGGCACCTGTCAACAACATGATAACCGGTTGTCATTAAAAGATGGGGAGCTGGCAAATTGTGCTTACAAGCCACCTGCCTGCCAGCCCGGTGGAACAATGTCCAGGTGACATTCACTTCCTTGATGGGGGTGCTTTGAGATCATTTGGGGCACAGCTCACCCCCACGGACCCCTCCTGACTGACTGCACTTTGCTTTCTCCCTAGATGTGGAATGGACCGAGTGGTTTGATCATGATAAAGTGAATCATAACAAAGGTGGGGAGAAAATTTCCGACCTCCGGGCAGCTCACCCAGGAAAGATCTGCAACCGCCCCATTGATATACAGGTACCCGGTCGTTGTCAGGGAAAAGACGCGTCGATTACATATGTTATTATGATCCTGGAGTGATTCTGCTTTCATGGTCTTCCTGTCAAGCAGGTGGACCAGAGAGAGCCATTCCCATTTGTAGGCTGAAATTAAGGTGCATTTTCAGCCCCAGAGCTCATGGCTGATGAATTTCAAAGCTAGGACTCAGGTTCTCTCCAAAATCATACCAGTGAGCTGCTTTTCCTTGTTTTTAACCTGTCTCTTCAGCCATCGCTCAGAGTGCCTCTGCTCCTTAAGCCTGGCTGGACCTGCTGTACTCAGAGGTGTATTTATGAAAAATGAATTTTAAATTACTGAAGGCTCTCTAATAACTGGTGATGGAAGCAGGTGGCAAGTAAATGATGCTTGTTTGTACTCTTCCTCTCAAGTGACATCCAAGGCACAAGCCATCTTGGTCATGCCTGTTATGTCCTAGATTGTTGTTGTTGTGTTATGTGCCATCAAGTCACCTGCCACTCATAGTGACCCTAGTACAGCAGCTCTGAAGCCTGCCCTGTCCTGAGCCAGTCTCACTGACTCCGACACACCTACCCCCATTGCCCTGGTTACTGTGTCAATCTATCTCATCTAGCATCTTCCTCTCCTACACTGTCCCTCCACCCTTCCAAGCATGATGTCCTTCTCCAAGGATCTGTCCCTCATGGCCATATGCCCAAAGTATGTGAGGTGGAGCTTCAAAATCCTAGCGCTCAAGGAGAAACTTGATCTCACCCTCTCTAAGACAGAGCTGTTTGTTTACTTGGCGGTCCATATGCCTGTATATACCAGAACCATCTTTGTATCCTCCACAGCAGCTGACACAGAGGTTGGAGATTAACCCGGTGCTTAAGAAAGTATGTTTTGAAGCCAAGAAGAAAAAAAAATTTCTGAGTTTACATCCCAGCCTTGTTACTTGTGGGCTATGGCAAACCACCTGTAAGGGAAAAACCCCTCGGGAGCCAAATTTTAAGGAGGCACCATTCTCAGAAGAGGACTATGCACTTACACAGCACTGAGTGTGAGTGACTCCTTAAATGTTGCACCAGAGGCTGCTCACTCCCTTTACCGGAGCCTCAGCCTAGGAACTAGTCACATGACTCCTCAATACCTCAGCTCCCTCCTGTTCAAAGACAGGCTTAAAAATTGCCTCCTCAAAGCATGGCTTCACAGATTCAATACACAGTGTCAGTCCCATAGTGAGCACTCAATTTGTTAGCATTTTAGAACCTTTTTTATTATTATTCAATTATATTGAAAGTGCTTCCTTAGTAGTATAGTGGTTAATAACTTGGCAGAGACAAATTAATAGAGATGTCTATAGTTGAAACCCAGCAGCTGCTCAGATATGACAGTCTGCTTCAGTAAAAAAAAAAAAAATTTAAAAAATGCAACTTTCAGAACCCTGTGGGACAGTTCTGCTGTTGCCCTTGAGGGTTGCTGAGTCAGAAGAGACTTGACAGCAATGGGTTTTAGATTATAATCACAGTTTTCATTACCATATTGTTTGAAGGAGCCCTGGGGGTGCAAGGATTAAGCACTCAACTCCAAGGGCTCCAAGGGAGAAAGACCTGGATGTTGTTGTTTGTTGTTGCTGTTGGTAGGTGAGCCGCATAGCAACCCCGTGAGAAGCAGATCAGAATCCTGCCCTGTCCTGCATCACCTCGCAATCCCTGCCATGTTACAGTTACCGTGTCAGTCTGTCTTGTTGAGGTTCTTCCTCTTTTTCCCTGACTGTACACCTTTCCCAGCTTGATGTCTTTTTCCAAGGACTGGTTCCTCCTATCTTATCCACATTGCCAAGGTCTAGGAGATAGTTTCACCATCCTTGTCTCTAAGGAGCTCCCTGGTGTAGTTCCTCCAAGACCCATTTATTTACTTGTTCTTTTGGCAGTCCATGGGATAGTCAATACTTTTCTCCAACACCAAGATCTAGATTCATCTTTGGATTTCCTTATTCATTGTCTCATTTTCAGATACACATGACAATTGTAGATACTCAGGCATCATTCTGGAGCAGTTCTCTGTTACATGGGTTCGTTCTGAGTCAAAGTCAACTTCATGGCACAGGCAGCATAATTATTGTTATTAATTATCATAGATAACAGTACAAATGTATCTCTTCATAGTTAAAAATCTGTTTCCCTGGATGGCAATAGAGCCCTTGTTTTACTTTTTTTCTCCCAAATTGAGGTCATTCTTCATGATAGAAAGAGGGTATGAGAAAGCAGACTTGAGCAGATGTTCCCTTGAAATTATTGTTGGATCTTATACCTTGAAAACCAGCCAGCTCCGTTTGATGCTGTCTTCAGCCTCAGTTCTCAATATTATGGGGTTCCCTACTGAATAGCATGCTGGTTTCAAAGGAGAACCTCTTATGGTCAGAGGAACTGCTTGACATTCACATGACCTTAAACCTGAATTTGAACCCCTCTGAGTCTTGGCGTTTTCTTCTGAGAGTACGTTTTCAACCTCTGCTTCTCTGTCTGCTACAGGGACCTCAGGAAAGTGACTGAATGTATTACTCATTGGAACGCCTGCATTTTAATGGTGAATGAACTCAATTTGTGCACTGGTCTTTCAAGCCAAAGACAATGCATATCGGTTGAGTTCCAAACAATGTTTCCTCAAAATTCCCCTCCTTTAGTGTTTTTAAGGTTGGCTGTACTATCCCTCCCTATGTCCCCAGCCCTCCTGCCTTTCTTTGGTGTCTGTGCCAAAGGCCATGACAGCTGCAGTGCTTGCCCTTAAATTGCATGTCTCTCAATGACAGTCAGCCGTCATGTGCACACACCCTGGCTCCAGGATGAGCCCCAGCTGGTGGGGACTGTGCCCTAAGCTGAGCCCTTGCCCTAGATCTTCCACCTGGCCTGTACCTCCTGGCATAGTTAGTCCCCATCAACTGAGACTTCACTCTGTACCAGGCCCAGAGCTGGAGGCGAAGACACTGGGTCCTGTCTTCCCAGAATCCAGAATCTAGTACAGGGAAAAGTCAGTCTCTCTCTCTCTCTCCCCAACACTAGGCTGGGAGCCCCTGAAGACCAGGGGAGGGAGGAAGGATGAGAATCATCATTGTTGTTTCAGTTAGCCTGGGCTCAAATTTTGACTCTACCACAAAGTTATGACCATGGGCAAGTTACATCTCTGAATCTTTGCATCCTTCTCTGTATAACTAAAAACTCATATCATTTTGCTGTGAAGATGGAAAGTGATAATGCCGTGAAACAGGTGTTAACAGTCCACAGACAGGCTTGCCTTGTTTTCTGTAACTCTCCGGTTTCCCACATTTGATAGGATGGTCGTGACACTGTCTGTCTTTCTGTTCTCTTTCTCTCATTGCTGTCAATTCAGAACAAATCCTCCATTAGTTCTCTGAGGCTGTGAATCTCACAGGAGGAGATTGTGCATCTTTTTTCTCAAAGAGCCACCTGTGGATTCAAACCATGGGAGAGGGCTCAACCTTTGCGTTAACAGCACAGCGTACAGCCTACGCCACAGAGCTGCCTTATTGTTCTCTGGTAGTGGAAAATATTTGCGTTGTCTTCTGACCGGTTTCTGCTTTACACAGGTTCTAGCTTCAGCAGATTTTGCTGTGTCAAGCCCTTAGCTCAGGAACAAGAGTGAGTTCCCAGCTTTGCTACCAAAAGGAATCACCGGGACAGCTTGTAAAATGCTCAATGCTCAGGCCAGAGGGCACAGTCAAATTGGAGGCTCTGAGGATGAGGCTTGGGAATGACTGCTTTTCAAATCTCCCCTAGTGATTCCAATATGAAGCCATGTTTGGGCACCAGCAAATTGAAACACAGTGATCTACCAAACTGTGTAAAGCAGTCTGCCTCGCTCCGGCTTGCTGCACGTGCTTTATAAACATCACCCAGCAAGAAACACTCAGTAACTGGCTTGGGCACCAAGTCCGGTGGGACCCGAGGCAAGGCACTTACCCATCCCGTGACTTCATGTCGTTTCTCTTATAACCATACCAAAAAATTGCTGCAATAATACACTTCAGGCCGTTGCAAATAGCTCTTGCAGCAGGGACCATTTTAGTCCTGTGAGTATATGTGTCTAGCATTAATCATTGCTTTCCTGCTTCATGAACTGACTTTGCCTTCTAATTGTGGTGCCATCTCCAGGCCACGTCAGCAGATGGCGTTAACCTCACCACTGAGGTCGTCTACAAAAGAGGCCAGGATTATAGGTTTGTGTGCTACAACCATGGGCGAGCCTGCCACAGCTACCGTGTGAGGTTCCTCTGTGGCAAGCCTGGTAAGCTCCTTTAGGGGTGAAGCGAAGCGCGGTCGGGGGGTCATCCCTTGAGCAGGCAGGAACACATCACAAGTTTGTTTTTAAATTTTATATTTACATTATTTTATATTAGTTTGCTTACAAAGTTCTTACACACTGTGTGTTATATGATCCTTCGTCCATGTTGTGTTGCATCCGATCACTCCCATCCATTATGTTTTATAAAATTAGCCACCATTGGACTATGCCCACCATTAGCCTGTCTTTCCAGATCCCCACTGGATCTTTCCCAGTTCCTTTAACGCATCGCAATTTTGAGTGGTGGGTCCGCCACCTCTGGGCATCTCCAGTGGCACTGTGCAAGCCCCACGATGGAGGGTGCTTTTGTGACTTTGAGAGGGTGTTGGCTACACAGCTGAACTCCACCCTGGCCGTAATTGTTGCAGGAAGGGCAGGGTTTGGTCTCTGACACCCAGGGCTCTGAAGGAGCCCTCCCCTATAGAGATGCACCGCCCCTGGCCTCCATGGGTGCTATTATCTTAAATCCAGTTCCCAAGGTGATTGTTAGACAGGATTGGAAATGGTTAGTTCCTCAGCTGAGACACTTGGCCGTCTCCAGAAGGCAGTCATTAGTGATGGTGGTGCTCTGGGGGGAGAGGTTCATGGCTGCTGTAAATAATAGTTAAGAGGAGCTATATTTGTTTTATATCTTGAGCAAAGTGGGTGTGGTGAGGTGGCCACATTTAGCTCCGGTGAAGGAGTGAGTGGAAAATTCCCCTGCCCAGAGCTAATGAATGGCTCTTTTCTGGTAGGGTTTTTGTTGACTTCAAAAACCTGCACCAAGACTGGTGATTGGGGTTTTGGATAGGCAAGCCTGGCATTTACTTCAAGGATGGGGAGGGAAGAGGTGGGTAGCCAAAAGTTGGCCTCTGGCAAAGGGCTATATCTCAGTGCTTCCTGTTTGGGGTTCCAGTGAGGCCCAAGCTCACGGTCACCGTGGACACCAACGTGAACAGCACCATCCTGAGGCTGGAGGACAACGTGCAGTCATGGAAGCCCGGGGACACACTGGTCGTTGCCAGTACTGACTACTCCATGTACCAGGCAGAAGAGTTCCAGGTGCTTCCATGCAGAGCCTGCACGCCCAACCAGGTCAAAGTGGCAGGTAGGCCTTTGCCAACCCTTCCTTGTTGTTGTTAGGTGCTGTTGAGTTGAAGACAACCTTGTCCTGTCCTGTGCCGTCTTCATCATGTCTGACACACTGGAGTCAGTTGCTGAAATCACTCTTTTGTACTAGAGTCCATTGCTGAGGGGTCCGTCCATCACACAGGCTTCAGGTTGACTGAGAGCCCCTGGGTGGTGCAAATGGTTAACATGCTCATCTGTTGACCACAAGGTTGGCATTTGCATCTACCTAGAGAAGAAAACCCTGGCAATCTCCTTCCCGAGAAACACGCCCTTGTAACTCCATGGGTCAGAGTTCTATTGTGACACACACAGGGTCACTGTGACACAACACCGGTTCAGTGGCAGCTGGTTTTTTCATAGGGACCAAATTCGCAGGGAATCTGTATCCGCCAGCTCATGCCACAGTCGTGCTATGTAACACAGCCAACAAAACCCATCTGAAAAATCAAACAATGACACGTGTGTGTCTGTCACTTATGCATTTGCAGGTTGTCTAGGACTCAGCTGCTGTGGGCTGAGCTTGGCTTCAAGCTGAGAGCTGGGTTCAAGTTCTGCTCCCTATAAACGCATTCTTCCCAGAAAATGTTCTTTTCCTGGGGAAGGGTGAAAGTTCATCTGGAGGAGGGCCTAGGTTTAGGATTTGCATGTTCTCACACCCACCTTCCATTGCCCAAAGCCAATTGCCTGGTCAATGTGAGCATAAATGGTGGGAGCATAGTGAGCCTTTTAACACTGAGGGGAGGAAATGATAATTTGGTGAACAATAATATAAGCCTGAGGGGCACATATGGCTCACCAACATTTCCACCTCTCAGTTTTCTTAGGAAGCCGCTCTCCCAGTTGTCATACTTGCCACTTGCCTGGTGGGATCCTACATAATGTCATGAATCTGAAGAAACGCGCCTTACCACACCAATTCAACCACCAGCCTAGCTGGGACTTAATGTGTCCCACATAAATGTCCTAAAATCCATATTATTTCAAACATTGTAACTTGCCTTCCATTAATGAAAACTTGTCAACAGAACATATTCAAAGCAGTAAAGACTATGAAAGGACTAGCCTACCACAAAGTCCATGCCTTCTTTCTGTAACTTTTACATTTTAATTTTTCCTCTCAGTGTCTCCAGAACCGTTACTTAAATGCCTTGTAGCGTCTGTTATGTGATGACACTGGAAGCATGGGTTGTCTGAGCCAAAAGAACCTTAGATATAATCTTGTCAGTTTTTTGGTTTGTAAGGAGTGGAACTTAGCTTGGTTAGAGTAAGCCAAAAAGGGGGTCTACTGGGGGACTCAGTCCTGGTCATTCAAAGCAGCAGATGCTACAGGAAGAAAACACTGGTCACCTGCTTCAGCAAACCAGCCTTACAATTGCGTAGCTCTCATGTGCTGCCCATCATGAGGATGGTGCAGGATGAGGCAGAGTTTTGTTTCATTGTGTATGAGGTCCCAGTGAGTCTGAGGCTGGCTCCAGGGCCACCGACAGCCATGGCAACACACAGGCCCACAGCTCCTGGGAAAGTATTAGCATTTCAGATGGGCGGAGGACTCTGAATTGAGTGCATCCATTAGACTGGAAATCTCAGTTACTTTGAAGCTAAACCTACAGAAAGTAAAATTCAGTGTCATCCTTTTGACTGCTGACAAGGTGAACAGGAGAGAAAGTGAGAGAACAAAAGCTCAAAACATTGAGAGGTATTGATGAGTTTGACTGCTTTGCTTTCTTCCTGGAGGAAGTGGACCCTGGAGGTAGCAGAGCTAACGCAGTTCACAGACCTGCAGCCTGATCGCCAGGGCACAGGCCCCAGAGCTCAAGGCATGTTGAAGGATGGTGGTGAATGTTTTTAAGAGGCAGTGACTGTGGCTGGAGGGAGAGACGGAAGCAGCATTTGGGGGGGGGACGGTGTGTCAAGGCAGAGATGGTTAGACATTTGTTCCAGGACAAGGTCATAGGCTCGCTACATTTCAAAACAACTTACTTAAATGCTACTGTCCTCAAAAAAAAAAGACTCTGGGTTTTCTTACATTGAACACAGATCGCAGTAAATTGGAAAACCAGAAAAACAAAAGCAGAGTGGAAGGCAGAGGAGCTAAATAGTAAATGACTGATAGAGAGTCAATTTAGCCAAAGGGAGAAAACGGATATTGAAAGAAGTGTAGCCAGAGTGCTCTTTAGAAGCAAGGGTGGTGAAACTGTCTCACATACACCGGGCATCTTATCAGTTATCAATAAAACACCTGAAATAGAACACTAGGCTAATCTCTGAGCTTCCTAGCAGCCAGCGAATAGAAAAAAAGTCAATAAGCTACTTAACTTGTATTATCCAATTAAAGAAAACAGACTAAAAGGCCAGAAGGGACAACTTTTTTCTTAACCCTAAGCTACTGAGCAATTCATCCTGTGTTGTTGTTGTTGTTGTTGTTATATGCTGTCAAGTTGCCTGCAACTCATAGCAACCTTATGTACAATAGCTCTGAAGCCTGCCCTGTTCTGAGCCAGTCTCACTAATTCCAATACACCTACCCCCGTTGCCCTAGTTACTGCATCAATCCATCTCATCTGGAGTCTTCCTCTCCTATGCTTTCCCTCCACCCTTCCGAGCATGATGTCCTTCACCAAGGACTGGTTTCTCCTGGCCACATGCTCAAAATATGTGAGATGGAGCTCCAAAATCCTAGCCTCTAAGAGAAACTTGGTTTCACCCTCTCCAAGACAGGCCTGTTTGTTTTCTTGGTGGTTCGTGGTATGTTCAAAACTCTTCTCCAGCATCACAACTGGAAGGCATCAATTCTTCTCTGTCATCCTTTTTCACTGTCCAGCTCAAAGATGCATAGCAAGTAATTGAGAAGACCATGAACAGGATCAGGCACAACTTAGTCTCTATACTGACATCATTACTTCTCGTACTCCAGAGAGGTCCCTGACAGCAGATTTACGTAATGCAATTTGTCTTTTTATTTCCTGACTGCTGGTGCTAAGAGTGTTGATTGTGGAGCCATGCAAGATGTAACTATTAACAGCCTCAACCTCTTCTGCATCTATCATGGTGCTTCCAATTGGCCCAGTGGTGAGAATCTTTGTCTTCTTGATGTTGAGCTTCCAGTTCACAGCTGAACAGGATGTTCAGGAGAGAAGGGCTTGTGGAGAAACAGGAGCAAACTATTTTTATTGTTATTGTCAACCAGCACATGAGAAAAGCCTTAAGTCTACAGTTCTTTTACTGGGCACTGTTTTTGTTGGTGTATACATCACACTGAGACTGGGTGAGCATCCCGACTTCTCCATTCATGAAGACATTCTCCAGGAGGTGGGAAGGTGCATGTCTTCATGTGGAGAATCCATGTGTTGCAGGCAGTAGGGTTGCAGTGGCGAGCGAGATAAACATGGTTCTGCCCTCAGGGAGCCTACTGTCCAGTAGGGATCACAGGTATCCATCAAGGAATTATTGTTGTCATTGTTAGTTGGTGCTTGAATCATAAAACAAAATCCACTTCCACAGAGTGGCTCCTTACTCGTGGCAAACATGAGGACAGAGTAGAGTTGCCCCCTTGGGTTCCCAAGGTTGTAATTTTATATCAGCAGATTATCACCGTCGTTTCCCCTTGGAGAGGCTGATGAATTCAAACTAGTTAGCAACTGAGTAATTAATCATTGCACCTCCATGAGGTTTTCAAGGCTATGAACTTTACTGTAAACAAATTCCCAAGTTTTTCTCCCAAGGAGCCACTAGATGGGTTTCAACCACTAACCTTTAGGTTATCAGTAGAATGCCTCAATACACATAGCATTCCAGTTGTAATAACTATTCTGAGGGAGAAATATGGTGATGGTGGGGGCGTAGAAAAAGGGAGATAGGTCAAGTCAGAGCAGGCGTGGAAGTATCCCAGAGAAATGAATGACTGAGTGGAATTTGGAGGAGTTGAAGTTGTCGGGAATAGGAGTGCTGCCAGAGAGGAAGAATGTGTGCAAAGACCCCTTCACCGGGAGAAGCCTGGAGTGGTCCACCAGGAAGAGGTCCAGAAGGGTTACAGTGGAGGATGTGAGAGCCCACAGGGCTGGAGGGAGAAAGAGTCCAACCTCAGTACTGGGGCTATGTCCTGGAGGCACACAGAGTCACAAAGAGCAAACATCCATTGAATTTCCCTGGCAAGGAAAGGCTTCCTCCATCGACACCTACAGGAGGCGCCAAGAGAAAATAGTTCAATCCCTTTGAGTTCTAGTATTCTAGTATTGGAGAAGCGTTCTGAATATCCTGTGGACTGCCAGATATATCTCGGTGGGACTGCAGCCAGCTGATTTTTGGAGGCAAAGATGAGGAAACTCCATCTCACATACTTTGAGTATGTTATTAGGAGGGCCCAGTCCTTGGGGAAAGTGACAGCATGCTCAGCAAGGTGGAGGATCAGTGAAAGAGAGGAAGACCTTCAACAAGATGGACTGAGACAGTGACCGCAGCAAAGGGTTGAGTGTATTGGAGATGCTGAGGACAGGCCAGGGAACAGATCTGTTGTGTATGAGGTCCCCAGAAGTCGTAGTTGGTTCAGTGGCACCTAACAACAACAACAATGAACTTAGGGTCTCCGCCAGCTAGCTTCAGTGTCTCCCAGGGACATAGCCTTCTGGAATGCCAGGTTTCCTCTGGACTCTTGACAGGATTCAGACCGTGTGAGCTGATGTCACTGCACAATGTGAGGCTCTGAGGTGGCACATGAGGCCATCAGGGAGGATGAAAAGGTCCAAGTCTTCTTGTGAGAGCCATTCTGGGTCTTTAGTCCTCTCTACTGCACCTTCCTGTTGGGCACTTTGAGTCTAGAAGAGACTCCACAAGGAACAGGTGCTGGTGGAGCATCAAACCATGAGATATCAAGGGCTGCTTCATGATGAAGGACTTGTGTGATGTCGGAGCATGTCTGCCCCACCCAGCTGTGTGCTTTGGCCACAAGAACTGGTCCAGCTACTTCCAGGGGCCTCAGGA